CCCCATGAGAGCCCACTTCTCTCCACCACACGCCCTTTCCTCTCTCACACGCGCGCGCACACACACACTGACCTGTTTATCACAGTGACATGCCTCTGCATGGGAATTTCTTTAGACGCTCCACTTCCAACGGCTGGGGGCAAGGCAGGCAGCGGACTCTCTACAGTGGGTTTCACCACGCCATACGCCATACCTCTGCCTCTTTGCAGGCGAGGGACAGGCCTCTTGCTGCCTTCTTCTGGGCTGCTCATAAACCTGGGCTGTCGCAAAGTTCCTTTTGGCTTCCCTAAAGAGTTTGCAGACGTAGCCATGAGTAATGCCCTCCCGCTCTCTTGACAGGAAAGCTTCCTCCACCCAACCCACACAGCCTTCAAGCACAGCCCATAGCTCCCTCCACGCAACCCGCGCTTTGGCAAAAGACAGGTAGGAACGACGCTTCCGGCCACAACCTTTCGTCTCTTCCCTACAGCCTCGTGTCACAACACCCAAGCACCAGCAAAACCGCAATTCACACCTCCACGCGGCACCAGGGCAAGACATGCAGGACACGCAGCCCTCTCTCCTTACAGTCACGAGCAACCAGGCAGCCTGCAGGTACCAAAACGAGCCCTGCCCAGAACCCATCTTCCAGGCTGCGCTCCACCACCGCTGGCAGAGCTGCCAGCAACCACACACCCGCAAGGGCTTTCCTCTTAAAGTGGACTGCATTCAGCTGCTCGCCGCTTCCTGAGGCGCCCCCTGAACAACCGGCCCCCCCCCGCACCCCCGAGGCTAGCCTCCTTTTGGCCTCCGCCCAAGCTCCCACCACACAGAAGAACTCGCCACTTTGCCCCTGCAGAGCAACTCAGCACGCTGTCCTTCAGGTCACACTCGGCTAAACAAGCTGTTTGTTGGACGCTTCACTCTTTACCTGCTCCCTGGGCCTGACCAACTTCTGTGGCCCAAAACACTGCAGAGCGCTAGCCTCGGGCAGTATGTCACTGAACCAGCAGGGGTTTGCTCTCACTCGCATTAAACAAGGAGATCAGGCACCAAACAAAGGCTGGACTGCTGCTGTGCCATTGCAGAGCAAGCAAAATCAAAGTCTTCAGGACAGAAAACATCAGAGCGACACAGACAGGCGGTAGCGAAACCTCGGCACAACAAGAGCTCCTGAAGCTTCAGCCTTGATACCCCCGGCCAGAGCTGCATGCCAGGCCTGGAAGCACCCCGTCCCACAGCGGAGAAACTCGCTGCCTCGCCGCAGAACCCACTGTCGCTCCAGGCTCACAAGCAGCAGGGCCTTGCCTCGCAAACGCACAGTCCCTTCCCTTCCTGACCACACACCTCAGCTCCCAGCAACAAAGCTGCGCGACTCCGGACTGCTACCCGGGAAAGCAAGGCCAAGCACCGGCACCAACCTCCGACGACCTTGCAGCTCCCAGCACTAACCGGTGGGAAAGCAGCTCGGCTGCCCTGGCGACACGGCTGCACGCTCCAGACCAGCCGCAGTGCAAGTCGGCGACACTGTCCTTCCTGCTTTCCTGGGTCCCACCGTGCCAGCCATAGCCCGACAGCTCATTTCAGGGTCCAGGCAAAGGCACGCTCCCTCTCCAACGTCTTTCCTACCGCCCCCAGCCGCTAACTCGCGCCTCAGATACCGCTGCCCCCAAAACAGCTCAGGCACCTTTGAGCCTCAAGAGGCACACCCAGTTCTCCTGCAGAGCAAAAAAGCACCCCTCTTCCTCCTAACAAGACACCCACCTGGCTGACAGGGGGAGGGGGGGCACCAGGAACATCCAGGAGATGAAGCTTCTGGACACGCTCCCGCACACCTGCGGGGGGCACTTCATGCTCCCTCCTCCCTCCCTCTGCTCAGCTCTCTCAGAGACCTTCCAGCCTGGCAGGTCTCCGCTCCCAACAGCGGCACCACACAGGCATTCACACTACTTACACCACGCTCACCAGCCCGCACAACAAAACCCTGCCCGCCCCAAGCAAGCCAGCCTTTACCTCCACACACCTGCCAGGAGGAAGGCCACCACCAGCAGCAGCAAACACTGGCCCAAGACACCAAAGACTTCAAGGCGCACAGAGGGACTGCGCAGCAGCTGGCCCTGGACAACATCTCCACCCTGGCACCCGCCGCAGGCGAGCAGGGCACCACC